GGGGGGGGGGGGGGGGTCTGTGGGTGGGCGCACCTTTGTTGCAGATCCCACAACAAACGCCCTCTCGATACTGTGCAATCGTCCTCCTTTTTTTCATTTTTTTCTCTCCATTGGATTGGGATGAAAGTATTTGCTGTCCGACGTTGTGGAGCGGCGCAACGGCAGCAGCCGCAAGTCTTGCGCGCAACGCTTTTCACCTTGCGCCCCATCCGTCACTTACTTCCTCCGCCTCTTGGTCAGCCTGCTAGGTTTCTCCCCCTCCCCCGCGACCTGCCTGTTTCCAGACCAAAGCACCTCCTTGACCAAGCAAGAGGACACAACGGATCGCACCGCTACCACCTACCACCCCGACCACCGCAGGACCTATCCCCCCCGTTCTGAACTCTCACCTGCGTCGCCGCCGCGCTGCCAGCCCTAACGGGCAGCAGCGCCATCGTCCTGGCCGCCCCAAGACACCCCGAGGTGATCATCGAAGACGAGGAGGAAGAAGAAGAAGCATCCATGCTGCCACCGCCTCCTCCCCGGTTTCCCCTGGCCGCCTTTCCTTTTCCCTTCCGGCCGCCGCCGCCGCCGCTGCCGCCGCCGCCGCCGCCGGTCCTCTTGGACCTGGCCGTTGCCTCTCTTTCCTGGACGATGGCGGACTCTGAGAACCAATCCCTCCGTGCAAAGCCCATGATCTGTTTATTTTTTTTGGCAGCCGACATTTCAGAAACAGACAACCGGAAGTCGTGACGTGCAACGCACCACGTTACACGCAGCCGAAAAAATAGGACGTAAGACGGAGGAAGGAGTACATTATTGTTCCGCGAGATTCCCGTGGGGACACGTGGAGGGGTAGCACTGGAATGACAGAGTGAACTGCGGCCAGACCAGGCAATAGGTACACGCCCGCTTGTTGTGTTCCAACCCGAGCTCCCCCGGTACTGCTGTACCCTCATTTCAAGTCAATCAAGCGTGATCGGGCATGATTGTTGATTGCCGCCGCGTGGCCCCCCCGGCAGACAATTGATGAATCGACTAGCAAGCGGGTTGCATCAAACGCGAGAGGCTTCAAGCACGCTTAGAACTACCGCGACGAAAGTTCGACCGAATCCTTGTACATATGTATTGAGTTGTCCGCTTACCGCCGAACCCCTCCTTCCTTCCCTCCCACTCTGCGAGACCCCCATCTGCTCAAGAATCCCAAACACCAACATCCGCCCGTTGCCACCGACGTGCCAGATTATTTCGTGAACTCGCTCTACAAGCCCCGCCAACAGTGCAAGCAGTTGCACGTTTCGTGTAGCTTACGGGAGTTCAAACACCGAGAATGAGAAACAGCCCTCAACCGTCTGCAGGTTTCCCCCGCCACAGACAACGCGGCAGGCGCCTTGTCAGCGGCCTAGTGCGTCCAATACCAGAAAAAAAACATATACACACACACACAACCGCAGGAGGGGGTCCAACCCCCCCCCCTCCTATGTGACCCCGGTTGGGTCGTCTAGCTGGTAGAAGTGGAGGATAGGGGCCAGAGGGGCAGACGACAGAGTCCAATGATGGGAGAAAAACAAAAAACAAACATACACATGGGGCTACTGATCGACCAACTTCCACCACGGCTAATCGGTTGGGATCTCTGCGACAACGATATGTAGTAATGAGGGTTATTCTTTTGGGAGTGACGGAGACGAAGGAAGGGAAAGGAAAGAAAGGAGGACGAACACGACGATGGAGGAGGAAAACATGGAGGAGTGGAAGAGAGCAAAGGGTTTGAGCCAGATGACAATCCCCAAAACAAAAAACGTAGGGCTAGGGAAGAACTGCCAAAGGTTGCTGTGAAAAGGATGATGAGAATGATGATGGCGATAACAAGGAAGATAATGGTGAAAGCACTCCAAAACAAACTCGAGTGCAAGGTTACAGCCTTGGTAGACAGTTCTCCTGTTGTTGCTACCGTTGCTGTCGTTGATCCGGAGGACAGTTTAGCCTCCCCCATGCTGCCCCCTCACGGGATCCCAGGTCATGGCAAATAGAAGTGTTTTTTGTTTTCAACCGCACCGAGACTGGCGTCTTTTCATTGGTCTGCCGGTTAGCGCGGTCGATGCTAATAATAAAAAATACACACGGAGAAACAACAGAAGACCAGAATACGTTTTTCAGGGTTCCATGTTCCTTTTTCTCGTGCCTCGACTCGAAGCCTTTTCATTGGCCAGCCAGATTTCATGCGTGGCCCATGAACGGGCATTTGTTCAAATGACGATGGGTCGTGTCCAGGCATGCATGTCGATTACACACACCTCCATCCAGAGAGCCGGCGGGAGAGTGCCGGGGAGCGAGTCCTCCCTAGCGTTCGCCATGAGCACGTTCAGCACGGTTTCGCGGAAGGAGCGGGGGTACACGGAGTGGCACAAGGGAGACCATGGCTTCACCACAAACCTGTTTATATTTTTGCGNGGGGGGGGGGGGGGGGGGGGGGGGGGGGGGGGGGGGGGGGGGTATGCGTCGGCCCGAACGAACCACGCAGGAGGGCGTTTACGACAAGAGCGACGTGCCAGGGAGAACGAGATAGCAAAGGGGCAGCCGACAAAAAAAGGATCAACACAAGCAGGCAGCTAGACAATGAGATACGCCGAGAAACGATGAGAACGGAGTCTTAGTGGGTGTAGACAGACTCCCCGCCCTCGCCACAACCCAGAGTGTACCGTAGTTGACCCCTGATATCATAAGATGTCGCGCACCCTGGACCGATTCTCAAAGCCCGATTTCTCCACGGCAGGAAGAGCGACGGTGTCGGCTATGGCGGCGTTGGGGCCGTCTTGTCGAGATAATTCCGAGACGCGTCGCATGATTTTGGATTCCTCTTCGTCTTCGGCGTAATCCCGAGCTCTTGAACAATCGGTCCAGGGGGTGTGATATCTTACGTCACCTGCGGCACTTACCTCACAGCCGGAGGAGGCTCCGGGGTCCCGCGGAATCCTTCCTTCTTTGCGTCAGCCATAACTATCGGCGAGAAGCACACGTTGCACAGGGCTCGGATGCTAAATGACCCGTCCGCCATTCGCTGTGCCATCGTCATCGTCGTCGTCGTCGTCGTCGTTGGTTGTGAACGGTTTTACGTCGCGTTGGGCGTCACGTTCATTAGAGCGAGGACCGTCATCTACTAGCGGTACGGGGCAACAAAACCAAAGTAAACGACGAACAAAACAACGATGTTATGGAAAGTATTCAAAAAATAGGGGGGCGTCACAACGCTCTGCCTACATACCTCCATGCGGATGAGCTCCTCCCGAAACGGTACCACCATCACGCCCCCTACGTTGAGGAGACCCTGGAGGTACGGTAGCGTCAGGTCCGGGTCGCAGCCCGCTCCCACGTACACGCAATCGTACCTGATTCGTGTTTGCCAAACGCGGCGGGGCGCCCCGTTGTGAAGCCAATCACGACGTTCGCCGGTGGTTATTAAAAAACAACAACAACGACAACTTGCTTGCTGTCACCGTCTGGGTACCGCGAAATGCACACTCGCGCATACACATAACCATACTGTACGCTTACTATGTATCATAGGAGCGTAAACCGCAGGAGGCGTGACGCCTCGGTCGTGGCTGTGTTTTCAATTCTCAAGTCCTCTGAACCCAGAGACCTCACTGTTGTCCAATCAGACTAACCTTACCCTTGTTCGGAGGGGGGGGGGGGGGGG